TTCTCCCCCCCCCCACCCAGAGCCCTGGGAATGGGATGGGAAGCTGAAGGAAATTCCCCCACACACACACCCCACCTTTTAATTAGTTTGAGATCACAAATGATCTCAGTACCTGTGGGGAATTTGTTAAGGGAGAGTAACCAATTTAAGATAGTCAGTAATTTAGGGAGAATCCACCAATGAATTGCTCTGACTAACCTGAAATATCTAAGAGCCAAGCCAAAACGAGTCTTCAAGAGCTGAGACCAAGTTAAGAATGGGTCCTCTAACAAGAGGGGCGTGTCAAGTTTTGTCTACTTGGTCTCAAGAGCAGGCAGACAGTGAAAACCCACTGTACTGGAGAATGATCCATTTCCTGGGTTTTGTTCCCCCTCCCCTTTTGGAAGGGGAGGGGGAACAAAGTTCTCTCCCAGTTCTCAGGTAGTTTTCTGATAGTCCAAGAACTTTAAAAGATATGGTACAATGGTTCCGAGATTACATCTGCCAATTGCTTCAGAACTCTGGGATGTAATCTGCAGGACCCAGTGATTTAAATCTATCTAGATTAGACAGGTGTTCTCTTACCTTTTCTTACTTATCTTAATAAGTAAGAAATTAATTTAATTTAATTTCTAGTCTGTATTTTATGGCTCTGTTTTTGGTAAGTTGGGTTATATTTTCTTTTTGCATGAAGACAGATACAAAGAATGAATTAAACAGTTCTGCTTTCTTTCTATTGTCTTGTTACTTCCTTGCCATTTTCTGCCATTAATGGACTGATTATTTCCTTGACTTTTTCCGTTTTTTATGTGAGAAAAAGAAAAGAAAAAAAGTCAAGAAAACAATCAGTCCAGGAATGGGAAGAGATGGCAAGGAAATAACAGACAATAACGAATATTGAAATAGTTTCATTACTTCGATACTGTTTTGTTTACACTTATTTTTATTTTTCTGTTTTTCTTGTTGTAAGCCACCCAGGGTAGTCCCTTGGTGACAATAAATAAATTTAACAAATAAATAAACTAGAGAAGATTTCAAATGGTTCTCTTTTAGTTCTTAAGCAATCACTGAGTGATGATATAGTTCTAGTGGCAGATTCCACATAGATTTATCTAACCCTAGAATCATCTGAAATGCAATAGAATTAATACACCTTTGCAGTGAAGAAAATATATCTAACAAAATGGAGGCCACACCCTCTTATCCTCCCATTTTTTTAGATATGACAGGGTAAAACCTAGTTCAGTGGTGGCAAACCTATGGCACGCGTGCCAGAGGCGGCACTCAGAGATCTCTCTGTGAGCACGCGCACCGTTGCCCCAGCCCCGCCTCCCCCCGTGGCCTCACCAGCAGTCTCCCTGGAGAAGAGTTGCCCCTGGGCACGGCCTGCACAAAGCAGTGCAACCAAGGACAAAACCAGGCAGCAGGGACAAGACTCCGCCCTCACGCCCCATAGCATGCAGATGATGCTACAGGGTGTGGGTGGAGGGAGTGGCTGCCATGGCACTGCAGGGCTGCCTGGGTAATCTGCTGCGGTGGGCCATGGGGGCGGTGCGTAGCCCTGCAGGTGGGCAGGGCAGGGGCGGAGCAACAGGGTGGGAGGCAGAGCAGGGTAGGAGGCAATTTTTGGGCACTCAGTCTCTAAAAGGTTCGCCATCACGGACCTAGTTCATCTGTTTTTTTAATCCTAACATATCCAAATTGATTCTACCTGCCCCCAAATTTAGCGCTCCTACAATATAAGCCCCCCCAAAAGTTTTGGCAGTTCTAAAAAAACAAAACAAGGATGGCAATTTCTACCTAGTACATTTTGACAGCATATGCTGTATTTTGATATGCAAGTGTTTAAATCTACTTGTTTTAGTTATTGTCTTTTTATCAGCATTAAAGGAAAAAAAGGTTTTTGCTGAGCAAGAGTTTATGCATGACTCATGACTACCTTTGTCTTATGTGCAACTAAGGATATGATTTAATTTATAATTAGGATGTAAATGCCAGCAAATTTTCTCCAGACAGAAGAGGGCTCTTCTGGGCAATGTTTCTCTACTTTTTCTGTTCTTATTGTAGTAGGTAGAAATGGTTATTCTTTTTTGAACTGCCAAAAGTTTTCTTAAGTAAATCTGCAATTGAAAAATTAAGAATGAGGTGAAAAAAGACACTCCATTTTCCTGCCTATCCAAAAATTAGGTTTAGGCACAAACAGATGTTTCAAAAGAGGCAGATTTTTTTTAAAAAAAAAACACATTATAGTAAACCTTTAATGAACTGATTGGGATTAATTTAATATTTTCTGCTAGAATGTAGCAGAAGAAAGTAATTGAATGAAAGGGCTGTATACTGACTATAAATTCAAGAAAAGGCTGGGCTAAATTATAATCATTCTTTTTCAATACTTTCCCTAGCACCTGGAATTTCTAGGTAGTCTTTGGCCTTACACCTTCCTTCTTTTCCTAGATCATTCCTGTTTCTCTACTCAGTGAAACTAGTTTGAGCCACCAAGCTAAAAACTAGAAGGCTGTGAGTTATAGTTCTGCCTTCAGTACAAAGCTAGTTGGGTGACTTTGGGTCAATCACATTTTAATAATAATAATAATAATAATAAAGTTGGAAGGGACCTTGGAGGTCATCTAGTCCAACCCCCTGCTCAGACAGGAAACCCTATACCATTTCGGACAAATGGCTGTCCAGTCTCTTCTTAAAAACTTCCAGTGTTGGAGCATTCACCGCTTCTGGAGGCAGGTTGTTCCACTGGTTAATTGTTCTGTCAGGAAGTTTCTCCTTAGTTCTAGGTTGCTTCTCTCCTTGATTAGTTTTCACCTATTGCTTCTTGTCCTGCCTTCAGGCGCTTTGGAAAATAGCTTGACTCCCTCTTCTTTGTGACAGCCCCTGAGCTATTGGAACACTGTTATCATGTCCCCCCTCAGCCTTCTCTCCGTTAAACTAGACATACCCAATTCCAGCAACTGTTCCTTATATGTTTTAGCCTCCAGTCCCCTAATCATCTTTGTTGCTCTTCTCTGTGCTCTTTCTAGAGTCTCAACATCTTTTTTACATCACTGTGACCAAAACTGGATGCAGTATTCCAAGTGTGGCCTTACCAAGGCATTGTAAAGTGGTATTAGCACTTCACGTGATCTTGATTTTTGGTCCTATCAAGAAAGTAATGACAAGTCACTTCTAAAAAACCTCAGGATAAGTGGGTGGATTTGTGTAGGTAGTTATCACTAATCAAAAATACTGGAAAACACACATTCTGTGTGCACACAAAGATACTGTTGAAGCAGTAATAAAGTCATTGATCTCATTTGATAATTTAAGTACTCTTTTATAATTTCCATCCTGGAATTTCTTCTTTTACAACTTGCTGATTGGATTCCATTTTAATTTATTTCCAACATTAGAAATGGGATGTATCTTTTTTTATCAATACAGACTGATACTTGAATAGTATTTAGTTTAACAGTCCTTTAAAGCAAGTTTCTATGGAGATTGTCAATTTTCCAGATCAAGGTTGCCCCAAAGGTGCTTTTTGCAAAAAGCAACTGGACTTTCTTGGTTTTTATTTTATTTTTATTCTGAAACCAAAATCAAACCTTTAAAGCAAGTTATTTCATTTATTTACTCAACTTATATTTTGCCCATCTTGCCTGGAGGTTAGATAGCTTTGCAATGAAAATCTTTACTCTTTATTACATCTTTATTTTTTTTAAAAATCAATAATATTTATTTAAATTTACAAACAATTTGTGCTGTACTATTTTGTTTCTTTCTCTATGAGATTTTGCTGAATCAAACTTTAATTTTATTCTTATGTGAAGTATCTCTGAAAACTGTAGGTTCTTGGCATTTGAGAGCCAATTTGGTCTATTTGTTAAGGCACCAGGCTAGAAATCAGTTCAAGTCCCATCTTAGCAAGGAAAGCCAGCTGGGTGACCTGGGTCAGTCATTCTCTCTCAGCACAACTTATCTCACATGGTTGTTATAGTTGTGTGGAAAATACACAAAGAGGAAGGCATGTTAGTTATGTTTATTTGTGAAAATAATAAATAATAAATTTTGTGCTTCATTTTCTGTGCCAGGAATGCACCTCACTATGAGATGCAACTTATAAATACACATTTACAAATATATGATCTACAACCTTGCTATATACCTATTTCAAATCTAGATACCCATAAATTATCATTAGGGGGAACTGAATTATTGAGCATGTTCTTCAACCCCCAGCTTAACTGCATTCTATACAATTATGATAAGATTGGTGATATGTTAAATAATAGTTAAATTCAAGTAATCATAACTAATAATAGTTAACATTTAGGAGATCTCACATCCCTGTCTTGTATATTTATTTCCATGAATAAGTTTGCCAGGCACTTTTCTATCAATACAAAGCTTGCATTTTAGCTTTCTCAAGCTTTTTACATGCTATTTCAATTTGTAACAATTTATGGCACTTTGATATGGCATTCACCTTGAATATTTCTTCGCACATATATTTAAAATGTATTAAATTTGTAAGCTGCTCAGCTCTAAACAATTCTGGGCACACAAATAGTTTTATTATTTTTGTGAACCCCTTTGAAAGTTAAAACTGTGGGACAGAGCAATTCAGTCTCTCCCACATAATTCTACTTTCTATAATTTGCTGCTCAGTTTTTTATTATTCTGTCCACTCCAAAGAATAATACAGAACATAAACTTGAGACAAATTTAAGAGTTAAAAATTTAAATTCAGATAATTTATTCATTTCCATAATTTACTGCAGGGGATTTTTCTTAATACTGGAAACAAATATTTGGAATAAATAACATTTAGTCAAATTTAGCTACATAAAAATATTAATTTAAAAGATGTTTAGCCATCCTTCAGTAAGTATCCAAGGGCCATAACAAAACATAGGATATAGTCATGATGAATTGATTTAAAAGGCAATGACAGTTACATTATATGAAGAAATAGATCCAGCTTGCTTAGTTGTTTTTGATTACATAAAATATAGAGATACATAAGAAAGTACCTGTGTAAGAAATCTGGTGCTTTATTTAGCAGGGTATAATACTGTCTCACGAACTCTTGCCCTACAAGCAGCGGACTTGGCTTCTCCATCACCATTTCTTTGGTAAACGTCAAAGGCTGCAATAGAGGAAGAATATCTATATAAGAAACATATGCTTCAAGATAATTCGTCTTAAATGTAATATAATTTTGAAAATCTTTAAATAGTTTTCAAAACAAAAAAAGAGGAATGTCTTTTCTTTTAAGCTACAGCATGAAGATTTTAATGGCCAGTCAACAGCCTGTATATCTAATAATTCAATTCCATGCAACCTCTTTGAATTTTATTTATTTAATTTACACTTACATTTCCCCAACAGTTGAAGACAGCCTATACTATAATACTCTTTATTTAATTTCCATAATATTGTGTGAAGTAGACTAGGTTGAAAAATATAGTCTGAAGTTATCCAATGTCTCTTTATAGACAAAGGTAAATTTTGAATCTGGATTTGAATCTGATTCAGACTTAGATGAGGGAATAGAAGGCGAACTCATCAAATTTGTATTAAGCTGAAAGGAATAGCCAACACCCCAAAAGACAAACTCAGGATCCAAAAAGATCTTGATAGACTTGAAGAATGGGCCCAATCTAACAACATGAAATTTAACGTGGAAAAAAGCAAGGTTTTACATTTAGCAGAAAAAAAACAAAGATACAAGTACAGATTAGGTGAAGCCTGGCTAAAAAATAGTAACTGTGAGAGGGACCTTGGAATCCTAGTGGACGATCATTTAAACATGAGCCAGCTGTGTGGGGCATAAGCCAAAAAAGCTAATATAATCCTTGATTGTATAAATAGAGGCATAAAATCAAAATCTCATGAAGTATTAATACCGCTTTATAAATCCTTAGTAAGATGACACCTGGAACACTACATCTGTTTTGATCACCACATTACAAAAAAGATATTGAGACTTTGAAAAAGGACAAAGAAGAGCAACTAAGATGATTAAAGGCTTGGCGACAAAAACATATGAAGAATGGGTTGCAGGAACTGAGTATGGCTAGTCTAGAGCAGACATGTCAAACATAAGGCCCGCCGGCCGGATGTGGCCCGCGAAGTGGTTTCATGTGGCCGGCAAAGCCATCCTGGAAACAGTAAGGGAACGGCCCCTGCTGCCTTGGCTCTGGCCCAGGCCAACCGGGAGCCAATGTACAATTTTGTGGTGGCCATCTATGCTGAAACGTATTCAGTCTTAGCTCCACAAGACCATCTGGAAACAGCAAGCAACCAGCCGCTGCCGTGTCAGCCCCAACCCCTGGGTGCATGCTGGGGAGGTGTCACCCTTTGTGAGGAATGAAGAAATGCACTGTCGCTTGGAAGTGGCCAGCAAATGGCCCTCACCTATTTCACATATCCGGCTTGATGGGTTCTGGGGGAGGGGTTCGGCAGGCAGCAGGGCGCTCTCCTCACAGCGCTGAGAAGCTGAGCCGGGTGGCGCAAATCCAAAAAGAAGCGCAACGCCGCCCAGCCTCCAGCCTGCCCAGTTTCGGCAGGCAGCGGGGTGCTCTCCTCACAGTGCCAAGAGCTAAGCTGGGTGGTGCAAATCTGATGAGAAGTGCAATGCTGCCCAGCCTCCAGCCTGCCCAGTTTCAGCAGGAGCAAGGTGCAAAGCTCCCAGCTCAGCCTCTTGGCGCTGTGAGGAAAGCACCCCATTGCCTGCTGAAACCGGGAAGGCTGGGTGCTGGGTAGCCTCACACTTGTTTTCAGATTTGTGCCACCTGGCTCAGCCTCTCGGCGCTGTGAGGAGAGCACCCCACTGCCTGCCAAGACCGGGCAGGCTGGGGGCTGGGCGGCATTGCACAGGTAACGTTGACTCTCACACTGCGCATGGCATCCCCTCCCCCAAAGCCTACCAAGTCAGATATGTGAAGTAGGTGAGGGCCATGTGCTAGCCACTTCCAGGTGATGGTGCATTTCTTCATTCCTCACGAAGGGTGATACCTTCCCAGCTGCGTTTCTTCCTGTTTTTCTCCCTCCCTCATCTCAAATATTTTCCTACCACTCTGTACTTAGGAAAAGAAGGAAAGAAGGAGAGGGAGGGTCTGAGGGAAGTCCTACCTTAGTCCTGCCCTGCTGCCCTTTCACCATCCCCTTGCCCCCTCCTCCTGGCCTATCCTGGGGTCTCCCATCCTATTGCTAAGGAAGCTTTGGATACAAAGCCACGTCTCCTCCCATGGAGAGGGAATGGGCCTCGTACCCATCATGAGCAACCTGGCTAAGGAGAGCAAGCATAGTAGAAGCAGCCTTGAGGAGGAGGTGTGCTGTGTGCCCCCTTGGGGAAGCGGGGCTGGGCTTGGTGCCATAGGTGCTCGAGAGCCAGGCTGGGCATTTGATCTTTGCTACCCAGGGCTCCAGGCAGGCCATGCCACCATCCAGCCCCCCCCCCGGGACGGCCTGAGAGAAACAGTGAGGCTCCTCCAGTGGACCATGCCTTGGCACTTGCCCTGGTCCCACCCCTTTCTGCCAGAGACCCTCACATCTGTCCCATTCCTGCCCAGGCCCCCACAGGCACCCTTGAAGCAAACGATGTAGAGCTGGCCATGTCCACCCAGTAGGCCATACCCACTCCATCCACACCCACCCGGTAGGCCACACCCACCCTGGCCACATACCTCCGGCCCCCCAAGGGCAACTGCAATGCTGATGCGGCCCTCAATGAAATTGAGTTTGACACCCCTGGTCTAGAGAAAATAAGGACTAGGGGTGACAAGATAGCAATATTCCAGTATTTGAGGGGCTCCCACAAAGAAGAAGGGGTCAACTTATTTTCCAGATCACCAGAAGACAAGATGGAAGATGGAAACTAATCAAGGAGAGAAGCAACCTGGAATTAACAATAAATTAATTGTTCTCTCCTAACAGTGAGAACAATTAACCAGTGGAATAGCTTGCCTTCAGAAGTTGTAGATGCTTCATCACTGGAGGTTTTTAAGAGATTAGACCTACCTGTCTGACATGGTATAGATTAGATTAGATTAGATTAGATAGATAGATACTCTTTATTGTCGTTTTTTACTATTGGCACAGTAGTACCCATTAAAAATGAAATTTTGTTGCCTGCTTCAAAATTGTACATATACATAACACTCTTATAAACATGCTATACAACATATAAACATCCTTACATATAAATACATATAAATATTAATAACTATCCTTGAATACATAGTGGAAAGAGGAAGCTTCAGAGTTCACAAGAATGTATGGAACAAAACTGTGACAGGTCCCTTCCAGCTCTATTCTGATTAATTGAATCTCTTCAGTCCTAGTCCTTAACCATAGCAGAGTTATTTGAAGCTTAAGCATGCAAAGGATAAAGTCTCCATTGGGCATTGTCGAATTTTTCAATAAACACTTACAGATTATCTAAATTAAGGTAGTCTCAATTTACAACCATTTATTTGGTGGCCTTTCGAAGTTACAAGAGCACTGAAAAAAGTGACTTATGATAGTTTTTCACACTGATGACCTAGGCAGCATCCCCATAGTCATGTGATCAAAATTCTGATACATGACAATTGGCTCATATTTATACAATTACAGTGTCCTGGGATCATGTGTTCATCTTTTGTGATTTTCTAACAAGCAAAATCAACAGGGAAGCCAGATGCACTTAACAACTATGTTACTAACTTAACTGCAGTGACTCACTTAACAACTGTGGCAAGAAAGGACATAAAATGGGGCAAAATCACTTAACAACTCTCTTACTTAGCAACAGAAATGTTGGTTCCATTGTAATTGTAGATCAAGGACTACCAGTAATATACAGTTCAAGATTTTCTAAACATTTATAATTTAGTTAACGTTACTTTGAAGTCTATAAGAACATAATGATGTAGTCAAGTATTTCCTTGTCTCTGCAAATATGGCCCTTGCAACAATATTTCAAAGTTATTTTAATTAACAATTCGATGATTTTTGGTTTTTACACAGAATTCAAAAATTCTGAATTCTTAAACACAACTGGTAAATGTTTATTAAAATCCCTTTTGAATAGAATGCTACACATTTAACACTTTTTCAGAGAATTAAATTAAGTAGAACCAAATAATCTTCACAATGGAGTCACACAAGATTCTATATTTGAGCATATTTACAATAATTTTCATATTAAGAATCCAGATGAGAAACTGATGCTTTCAATTAACATTCTACTATAGCATACTAAATGTAAAAAATTGCAATGTTTTAAAAATACACCATGAAATAATAAAAGTGAAATAACTTTTTGCAACTGATTGACTATAATTCATGCAAGTTCAGAAAAGCTTTGCTGTAAAACTTCTAAAAATTATTGTCAAATTTTGCACAAAGTTTAGCAGTTTGTGCTAAACAGATACTTGTAATTGTTTTTGCAATTAAGGGTATTTCAATTTGAGGAAGCTTTAGAATGACAGAAATATTTACAAAATTATTTTAAACTACTGCAATATCGCAGAATTTCAAACTAAAATGTGAATGTGTAAAAAGAAACTTTACATAAGCATAACCAGATTAAAAATTGTGAATAACCACTACATATGCAGAATTGTAACTCTCTCAAAGGATATGTATTGTGCATGTCTGATTTGTGATGGGTTACATTGCTAATTTTTTTGACCACTTTATATCGTATCAAAGGAAATAGAGACTGCCCTGAGTATTTTTAACTACATTTTTCCAACAGGCATAGAAGCATTTCATTACAATTATTTGGATTCTTCTTGAACAATATCTACAACTAATTATTTCCATTATCTTTAAATATTTGGATACTTCAATAATTCTGAACAGTGCAAATGAAAATAGACTTTGGGAGCAAAATCCAGAACCTTATAAGTCAACCCCTCTCCAATCCCCAAATAACCTAAGAACAGCAAATAACAGCAGCAAGAGAAAATACTTGATTTCATCACTGGATTTCAAAAAGCAATTTTTCATTCTGATTAATTATTCTGAGTATAGTACAATGTTGACTAAGTTCCTATGTAATAATCAATTATTTATATTTGTTTGAATTTATTAGTTAATCAAGTCCAATGGAATCTGTTTTGCAAGAACAATGATCTCCGATAGATTTGAGATGTGATCTGCTTTTTTTCAAACTCATGAGTCAATATAGAGTCAATAATTTGCTCCACTCATCCAAATTTCTTACTCACTTTCAAAACTAAGATCCTACTTGCAATGAATTTATAGATATTATAATAATGTTCAAAACTGTAGTCTAAATTTACTAGGTTCTTTTAAGAATCTTAGTAAGAAAGTCTATAGGCATATTTAATTATCTTCATTTTATAATATAAAAACTGGTTGGTTGCCATAGAGTGTAAGGAAAAAAATCTTGTTTTTTCTCTTTTCAATTTATATTCTTATTTTTTGAAAAAAAAAATTAAAATGAAGCTGTCTAAAATAACTGCTAAAATGTGCTCTGAAAGTGGAAGTGCACATGGGAATTTACATGTTTTTCTATTTTCTATTAGATTTAGCTGGGACTAGAAAGTAACATCGCAATGGAAAAAGACTCTATCATAGTCCCATTTCCAGAACTGTGCTCAGGATTGCAACTGCAACAGTGACCAAACAAAAAGCAAAGAGCTACATACACAAACACCATAAGGGATGCATATACTCCAAATTGAACTTATCCAGATATACTTCAAGGCTTGTAAAAGACAATAACATTGAATCCTTCTTTACCCATTATTAAGGAATATTCCTGGTGTCAATACTGCAACGATCTTGGCTGGAGCCATTTTTGCTTCATTTTCAGTTACCACAGTACTGGGAGAGGGGAGGGGTGGTTTTAATGTTAGACTAAACAATATTTTCTCCCGTGGGAACCAAGGTCTTTGCTGCCTGATTTTGGGCAGGGTGAGCCTTCCGTTAGAAAGTCCGCCAAAGTATTCTATTGGGGAATGTAGTTGATTACATCGTACTGGGGTGGGAAGTTCAACTTTGTGACATTGTAATGCTTTGGAGGGACCACCAGACTTGGTTTCACTTTTGACTGTGCTGTTATTTTGTAGCCAACAAACATGTTCTTTAAGGAAACCTCTTGCCTTGGAGTTCTGCTTTTACTGGTCTCATTTATCGGAACCATGACATTAAAACAAGTCAGGGAGTTTTCCTTAAGACCTGATCCCAAGAAAGCACCTGGTCCCCTTTTAGTGGAGGGGAAAATTCATTATGAAATAAAACGAATTTTTGATTCTAGATTGTACAAAGGATAATTACAGTATTTAGTACAGTGGAAGAGATACCCTCTATCAGAAGCTACATGGGTAAAAAGTGCTGACGTCAAGGCAGATAGGCTAATACAGAGATTTTTTGATAAGCATCCTCATAAGCCTTGGGGAGATTCCTAAGTCTAACTTTTCTTTGTCTGCAGGATTTGTTCTCTCTCTAGAGGACATGACTGTCAACACTGCAACGATATTGGCTGGAGCCATTTTTGCTTCATTTTCGGTTACAACAGTACTGGGAGGGGTGGTTTTAATGTTAGACTAAACAATATTTTGTCCTGTGGGAACCAAGGTCATTGCTGCCTGATTTTGGGTGGGCTGAGCCTTCCATTAGAAAGCCCACAAAAGTATTCTATTGGGGAATGTAGTTGAATACATTGTACTGGGGTGGGAAGTTCAACTTTGTAACACTGTAACGCTTTGGAGGGAACTCCAGACTTGGTTTCACTATTGACTGTGCCGATACTTTATAGCTAATAAGGATGTTCTTTAAGAAAACCTCTTGCCTTGGAATTCTGCTTTTACTGGTCTCATCTATAGGAACCATGACACCTGGATTACTAGAAATGTATCACTCTCAAAATGAGATAGGGATTGTAAGATATATATAAAGGGCAGATCTAGAATAATCAATTATGAACAAGGACAGAACCTGCTTTAGATTAATTTGCTTTAAACTCTTACACGGAGGCCATTTGGACCTTTAAAGTGGTGGCACACTTTCTAGCTCTCAAAGACTATCAGCTTACAAAAGTGAAAATTACTGTCTTTATGTTCTTTATGAAGTAACTAAATGCTATACCCAACTGTTGCTATATAAGTAGAACCAGCATATCAAATAATATTTGCAGAAAAATCCCCAAGAAACTTTGTAAACAGAGAATTGTCTAATAGTAGTAAAAGTCACTAAAATTTTCTGAAATGCATTGCAGGACATGGACAATCTCAAGATGGAAGTACCATCACATGTGCTAACAGACAAAGAAGACAGTTGATAAAACTGACTTCCTAAAAGCAAAGAAAAATCAGAAACTCTTATCCCATATCGTAAGAGTCCCAGAACCCTGTGGATATAATTGCCTATAACCATGTCAATCTAAATGTGGAAGGGGTCAGTAAACCATCAAAGGGAAATCATTTTCACATGGTAATGTATACACAGTACACAAGGGTTTTATTGTTTGATCCTATCAATCTTAAAACAGTACACATTCAATTGGATCCTGCATCAGTTCATTTAGCTCAGGGGTCTTCAAACTTGGCCCTTTTATGACATGTGGATTTCAATTCCCAGAATTCCTCAGCCAGCGTGCTGGGAGTTGAACTCCATAAATCATAAAAGGACCAAGTTTAAAGACCCCTGATTTAACTCATGAAAATCTGGAAGAGTTTTAGCAAACAGCTATCCATTAGTTTGCAAATATTAATGCTGTGTCACACATTGTCAGAGCTGTTCCTTGAAAGTTCAGACCACAACCGAAAGAATCTCAAACCCTATCTCGCTGAGGACCAGAAGCCTATATCACTCTCTATGTCCATTAATAGCTACTACAAAGATCAGTCACTGATCATTTATCTGTAAAATGTCTTACTGCAGAAAAAAAGCTAGCAAGCATTTGAGTATGATTACTGCAAAGCATTTATTGTCCATATGTATCTGTTTATTGGCCTAACTAAATACTTCTCTCTACTAAAGGATATGAATATAGTAGCCAGAAAGGGACTGTGATGATTGTTGCTTGAATTTCATACCTAGGAAAACTCTGTTGGTAAATTCTATGTCTTAGTTTATATGTATTTCAAGTACCAGCAAAATTATGATCTTTTCAATATTGCTATTTCTTGTTATCTTGGCTCTCTACAATACTGGTCCTCCAGTAGATGCAGGAGAAAGACAATCCTTGTCCCAGTATTACACACATACAAAAAAAAAAAAGGTATGCAATAGTGTATTGCCATAGACATGTATTTGAGTTATTGTCATATAGCATTATTCTACAGAAGAATACTATAGGAAACTCCTATTTCACAGAATTTCTGTATCTTTGCAGGTGCATGGCAAGGGAGGTGAAATACTGGAGAACCTCAGTATATCACAGAAACACCATGACAAAAGATAAGGAGTGATAGTTCATATCATGCTACTAAGGATGATTCTCCCTCTTCCATATGTATCTTACATAATGGCACCTAAGGTTCAAATTTTAAAGAGATGAGGTTGAGGAGCAAAAGAACTCCTTGTTATAAGGCTTTCATTTGCAAATATGCAGCTAGATCTATAAACAGTTGGGGAATGAGAAATATTTCATTAATGTTCATCTCTTTTCAGTTACAGTGGTTGTGTGGCATACCTGTGTTAATTTTTTTCTTCTCTTTCCTCTTGCTGTGACTGCTGGAGAACCAAGCATGCAAAATAGGTTTGTCCAATTCTGTTATTTGCCTGCTAACGTTTGTAGTACTGTACTTATATCTATTCCCATCTCAGTGTAATAAAAATAAGAAAGAACATTGTGGTTTCTATTATAATCACTTAGTAAAATTTCAGGCAAATTTAGGCCTTTCTGAATCTTCAGAATTTGTCATCTTATTAGGATTAGTTCTATTGCTCACCAAATTACTATATTTATAGAGGAAGAAAAAAGTATTAAAGCAATGTGTGTTTCGGCATATATGGTAACACACTCAGGAAGCAACCCTAGCTTGTAACCAGGAATTTAAGCGCACAATATCTGTTTTGCCGGTGAAATAAGTTTGCATAGTACCGTAGTTAGTAGCTACCAACCAGGAATAAATTCACAGTATTACCCAATACTGATTTACTTTATAGGGCTATTCTCCTTGATTAGAAGACTTCTATTATAAAATTTAATAAATGGTCTTCAAGCTATCTGCATATGCATGTATGTATTCTTAGGCAACATACTCTGATGGCTTTTAAAGGCCAGCTCTAGATACGCTATAAGCTGTCTAAGGAGCTTTGAATTTCTATTTTCCCCTTTGTGACCTTTTTCAGGAAAGAGTAAGATAAGCCTTTTTCTAAATTCCTTAAACCACGAAGTCACCCTGCTATTGACAGCAGCTGCCCCCACCCCAACATCCCTCTTTTCCTTAATGAAAAGCGCCCCAACAGAGAACCTGCTCTGATTTGTATAGATAACATCCCGATACTCTCAAAGGAAAAGAAGTCACCTCCTCCCGGGAAGGGCCTTCTCATCCTATCTTACTCCGTTACCCACCTAAACACTCTGTTCGAGCTCAGGGTCCGGTTCGCTCCCAGGCAAAGGCACGGGGAGGAGCGACTGATGCCGCGCGTCCCTCCTTCCCGGTGATTCGGGGCGGAACCGGATGTCTCTAACGCGCCCTCGGCGGGGAGGGAAGAGCACGCGGCGCGCGCAACCTTAACAAGCGGCCAGATGTGGGCGGGGTCGCGAGTACAACAGATGCCGTTCAAGCGAAAGCAAAGGATTTACCAGATATTTTTAAGTTAATGGGATAATAGCAGCTTTCAAGTTTGACCGGAAGTTCTGCTTCTCTCCCGCGCTGCTTGTGTATCTACATGAGTTTCTTCCTCCGCTGTTTTCCAGAGACAAGAATTTCACTATCTCATCTGCAGGCAATCAGAAGAGCCTCCGAGCTATGACGTCCTTTGAGAAGGGTTTCTATGATTCCCTTCTCCTAAGAGGCATTAAAAAAAGCTCTGCACAAACCTCACTTCCGGTTCTGATGAGGATATTTTTCATATTTGGACAGGCGAAATTGAATTATTCTAGAAACCATAATTCTAATTACTATTTAAAGACCTCTATCATTTTAGTGCTCTGAAATGATCATAAATGAAATCCTACCCATTCTGTTCATATCCAAAAGCCAGAGGGAAAAAACCCAAAACTAAATATTTTATAAATACAAAAACAGATTACAGCATTTTAGTACTGAAATTCATCCAATATTGCAATTTTATAAATCCAATTATACTCAGAGCCATTTCAGAATATAGCACAGCAGTCCAGAAACAAATTTATTTTAAAAGAAATGGGAATAAATAGATGTTTTCAGGAAAATAAGAACAACTATTACTTTTATTGTTACGGCTATTATTTTTCTGCCACTTACTTCAAAAGATTCTTCCATAGTTTAAGGAGCATAATTATTTTTAAAAGTAGATTATTCCCTAAAATAGATCAGATTCGTGAGTGCCATTATATAAGGTGACTTTTAATTTTATGGCATGGCTGAATTTGTAGGAGTACTGGAGGAGGGAAATGCAAGACCCACCTAGAATGAAAGTCTTTGACCCAGGGGACTGCCATAGTAGCCTGTACATTGAATTGGACCCATCAAGGAGAGATCAAACCACCTGAGTTCTAGGCAAAGAAAGACATTGCATAACCACATGCTGTGTATTGCCTTAGTTTACTTCACCGAAGCTGAAATTAAACAAGCGTTGGGGACCCCAGAAAGTGCTGGAATGGTGGGGACACAATAGGATGAGGGGGAAACATGCTGTTTGAGATGTAGTTTTGTGAAGCATCTTTGAAGGGGTGGGTATGGATTATTAAGAATCTTTCCACTTCCAATCCAACTCCTTCAGCTTGGCAAGAATAAGTAAAAGCAACAAGGAGAATGAGATCTACCTCCCTTTTGCTTCTTTTTCTCTTGATATGTCTCTTTCCTGTTTACTGCCATCCATTAGATTTTTGCAGCTCTCCCACAATTTTACTGAAAACCAATTCAAGGGCTCATCTTCATGTCCAAGTGTTATTAACTCTTTCAACTTCTCTGATTGTGAGAATAAAAAGGAGAACCAGGTGGACTCTTAGCCTGCAATTCAGAAGGCAACAGGCTGCCAGCTTTCTGTGAGTACCGACAATTACTAATTGGTAGTAGTTGCTGATTCAGAATATAACCTTAGGAGAGTGCCAAGTCCAAAATCATACTTTAGCTAAAGAAAGCTGAGCAATGGAGGTGGCATAACACCTTAAGAGGAAGTGGCATATGGCTTTATCAAGGATATATCCAAACTGCTCCTGACCTGCTTCCTTGCCTGCTTCCTGACTGTTAGTTTCCCCTGCTGCTTATCATGAGAAGGGACTTGGTTGACTTCTGTGGAACTATTTGGTGCTCAAACTACAAACTGTTTTAAATTACTCTTTCACCATTTCTATTTCCAAACTCTCCTGGCTAGCAGATTATAGAAATGGCATAATTATGAGGAAAACAACTCCACATTTTTCTTTCCCCCTAAATAGCCAGACCTTTTTGAATATCAAGATTTACACACTAATAAACACACTAATAAAGTTTCTCAGGTTTAAGTGCTATGCTTTCTGTGAGCACTAGGCCAAGAGGTGGACATGGACAAGAACACCCACTAACTGTGGCACAAAAATATTCCATTAGCCACTTTTAGAGGACATTTCATAATGCAGCCTTTGTTTCACTGGCAGTCAATTATAGAGATCGCCTAAAATTGTATTCAGGTTTTTAAATATTTTCTTCTTGCTGTAAAGGCAGCTATTCTATTAATTGTTATTTGTTTTAAAATAATATTTTCTCCCTTTCCCCATCCCTTTGCTTATATCAGACATTCATTTACCACTTCATGCATCATCTTTTGTTCTTTAAAATTCTCACCTCTAGCCAATCATTGAAAGTTTTCTCCTTTCTCTAGAACCATGATTTTTTTGCTTTACCAGACACATTTTCTAATTATTTCTATTTGATTCATTTTAATTTAGTGTCTCTGCTGAAATATTCAACTTTCAATTGCAATTAACAAAATATACAAAAGCACATTCTTATACACACCCATTTCCCTATATTTCAATATTCATTCCTAGCAACAAACTTCATATTACCCACTCTGTTCTACCAAATTAACTTATCTAGGTATTTCTTTGGTAAACACTTTATTGATGAATACAGCACACTTACTTGGTTCTTTTCCATTCTTTCTGTAAGAGAGCAGGCTGCCTAGAAAATGGCCAGCACCTGTGCTGCTGTTGTCCTTTTTAAACCCTCTTCCCAGCCAGCACTGCAACTTTATCTGTAAAAGAGGCGCTGAGAAACAGCTGGTGTGGTATTGGGGGGGGGGGAGAGGGAAGAAGGTGTGGGTGGGTGAAGTAAAAAAGCTTGAAAGAGATAATTTTCTCTAACAATTTTCAAAGAGTAGTGGGACACAAGTAGTAGTATGAATACCAGGAGTAGTAGTAAAAACTCACAAGGTGTAGTTGTAGCAATGGGGAAGAGTGGTATAGTATAGATTAATAGCTTTGCATGCTTGTGTGTTGGCTCTTTTGTGTTGAGCCCATCAAACTAAGTATAGTTAAAATAACCCTTGCTTTACCACACACATTTCATAATTAGCTATTTCCACTTCATTTTAGTTTAATGTTTCTGCTGATATATTGAACTTTTAATTACAAATAAATAGGAATCTTCTTATACACATTTTCTAATACTTGAAGGCTTTCACAAAGAAGAGGGAACTGACATATTCTCCAAGGCACAAAGGGCAGGACAAGAATGGGTGGAAGCTTCTTAAAGAGAAATCCAGCCTAGGAGACCTTTTCTGTCAGTGAGAATCAATGGAATAGCTTGTCTCCCAAAATTCTGGGGGCTCCATCATTGGAGGTTTTCAAATGTTAACTGGATAACTCTGATGGGGAGGTTATAAAGCCTCCTTTTTCCTTATTTTAATATTCACTCCTTCTAACAAACTACATACTAGCCACTCTCTTTTACCAGATTAATTTATCTAGATATTTCTTCAGTAAACATTTTATTGATGAATACAAATTAATTTACTTGGTAATTTTTCATTATTCATTATTTCTGTGTAACTTGAAACAGTTCATTTTTTTCTGTCAAATGCAATTACCTTGATTTTCAGTAAATTTTCAGATTCATATTCTTGTTCCCTCAGACAATCTAAAATTAACTGCCAACATAGTCAACACTATGGCATAATTGATCTGCATATTCACATTCCATAGCTAGCCTTTATATTTTAGCGTTGTTTCAGTTACACTATCTCCTATTGCTGCCTCATCGTTCAATTGTTTCACAGCATTTAATTTTTTTTTTGTTTTTCTTGAACATTAATATTTATAGTATTTCATCTCTTCCTGCTGGAAGACCTTTTTGTCTTTCTGATAAATGCCCACCAAATTAATGGAGCAATCTAAGATATCGTGACGAATTCAGAAACTGAACTTCAAAGTTTTAGTTTTTAACTTTTAAAAACATCGACCATTTTCTCCTGTTCTGCAGATGGGGCGTCCCCTCAATATCTTAAGACTATTCTTAACCGGTTGCCCTAATAACATATTAAGATATGATGCAAGGGTAGTTTGAATTTGCCGAATCGTTATTAAAAATATCCCTTGAATTACAGAAAAGTTCATTCTTCATTGGCCTTGCTCCAATGCTTTCCTTTCTAGCCAAATATTGAGAATTTAATGGTAAAACCACCTTGATTTCCATTGATTTGATTGTATTTTAAATGTTGAATATCTAAACATAACATAAAAGCAGAGTTTTGCTTTAGAAAAAAACACGGGTTTCGCGCTCCGCATACAACATCCTACTGCAAGATTAAAAAGATCTACTAAAAACGGAAGTTCTGTCTACAGCTATTAGTTTCTATCTCTATGGTGACTACCATGGTGCCACGTCTTAGCGCAAGCGCATTGAAGTTAATGCTGACGGTAGTTGACGGGGCCCTAGTGGGGAATCGCGGCCTAAGGACCGCTTGGAAAGAGAGCCCACGGAGACAAGATGAACTTCTTACGGGGCGTCATGGGCGGCCAGAGCGCTGGACCTCAGCCGTCCGGAGCTGATACGGTAAGTTAGACAGTGTGGCGAAGAAAGTCCTGGTTTAGGACTCATTCTCTGCATGGTGACTCGAGGACCCTCTTCCCGGCAAAAGCTCTGCTTTACAGATTCATGTTGTACCCTTGGCACACCGCGTGGCGTTTTCGCTGCTTTTGCAGAGCTTTGACAGAAGCTTGAAGGTGGCAATACCTTCGAGGTAATCCATCTGTGTTGTACGCGTTTCTTTATAATTACATGTAAAGGAGACTGTCCACGTAAACAAAATATATCACAATGAAACTCTGCCTGGGGTGATAAAGCCTGGTAAATACCGTATTTAGAACAGTAAGTATATATTTGAAAGGGGCTGAATTTCAACCATTTCCATTTATTTGCTTAATTCGCCACCTAGTTTCTGTAAGCTGAAAATCAGTGCTGCAGTCGCCCCTTATAAAACATAAATGTCTCCTGGGTCTCCTATGTTTTTTTTTAAAAAAAATCTATTGTCATTTCAGCAGTGAGTCCGAGAGGACTTCTATTATTATAGTTTAGTGGTGGCGAACC